GGTTAACTATGTGCATAATAATCAGAGGTTGAGTAAACAGTATTATATAGTGACTAAAGTTGGATAGAAAATACGAACAAAATTTTGAGATGTCAGATCTGTTGTGCGTGAAGGAAATAAATTGCAAACTAAATAAAAACAATCACAAAATACTGGACCAGGCCAGTTAACATCCTTTGTTCTAATTTTGACCTTCTAAGTATTTTGCAGTTATAAAATACCTGAATTTCTAGTTGAAAATGTTTTAAGAAATCAGGATCTTCAGAAATATTGTTGCTTGTGAGTGGTTGGTGGGTTTTGGGGGGGAGATTTTGTTTGATTTCAGAAGAGTACCAGTATCTTACAAAAAACCCAAACAAATCCTCTTATTCCACTTAAGAGACCTGTAAGCATATTTTAGTTAGATCATGGCATTTGAATGACATGATTATCTGGGTTGGAAAAAAATGGGAGACTCCTCACCATCACAATTATTTGAAGCCACATTTTAAAATGTAATATTAGAGTCAACGTGTGTCTTGTGAATGTCACTTGTTTAATTGCAGATTATGGATGTGGGGTGGCCCGATCTCCATGCTCCACCTCTGGATAAAGTGTGCACCATCTGCAAGACTATGGAGTCATGGCTCAACAGTGATCCTCAGCACGTGGTGGTGATCCATTGCAGAGTAAGTGAGCTTAGTGTATACACTTCGCCTGTCGGTTTTTATCTGTTTTTTCTTCTCCTTGCTTGCTCACAATGAAGAGAAGTAAAGAGATGCCTTAATTAAACACAGATAAAATGAATTCAGAATTGAGCTGGTAGCTGCACTGGTGACACTTCATAGAATCATAGAAGGACACAGGCTGGAAGGGACCTTAGAGATCATCTAATCCAACCTCCCTGTCATGGGCAGGGATGCCTCTCAAGTAGACCAGGCTACTCAAGGCTCCGTCCAGCCTGGCCTTGAACACCCCCAGGGAGGGGGCATCCACAACTTCTCTGGGCAATTTATTCCAAAGTCTTACCACCCTCGTACTGAAGAATTTCTTCCTAAAATCTAATCTAAATCTGTTCTCCTTCAACTTAAACCCATTTCCCCTTGTCCTATCAGTGGATCACTTGAGGCAAACCTGTCTCTCTATCACTGGCAGATGTTACTCTGAACAGAATGAGGGTGATAATGGGACCAAAACTTCTCCTCCAGTCAGGTTATGTAGTCCCCAGTCCTGAATTGCTTGCGGCCAGAATGCCATGGTTGTGTGATAGGTACACTAGTGAATTCTTACTGGTTGTGGGATCGCAGCCAGGGGGACAGCCCGTACGTGGGACAAAAGAAAACTGGGCAAAGTATTCCTAGATATTTTATATACAAATTGGTAATGCATATTGTTGATTAATGCCTTTTGGTAATGACTTTAAAAACCATGAAGATTGATACAGCTATATGTTGTATCTGCTTAGAGACTGAAATTGTTTTTGAGACTGAAATTTTGGAATTACCGCTTGTACTGAAATTATGTCATGTAAATTATTTAGTAAGATTTTGGAACATTTTTTAAATTATCCATAGAAAAATAAGTAGTAATCTTGGGTGCTGTGGAGGTAAAAACGGCCCAACCTGTGGGAAACTCGTACACTTTCTGAAATAGGTACTTCATAGCATTTCATGCCAGGAGTTGCGCTGTTGTCTAGGCTTGTCTTGAGTGATCTCTGGAAAAAGTAATATAAAATTAGAATAGTTGATACATCTTTCCAGCAACATAAGAGATGCACGATTGAAAGGACTCTCAATCTCCTGTCTTAAAATTTTGTTTAGTATGGATCTTAAATAAAATAATGCTCAATAACGTAGTACATTAAATAAGGTCTCATTCCTTTTTCCGTACACAGGGAGGAAAAGGAAGGATAGGCGTAGTCATATCATCTTACATGCACTTCACCAATGTTTCTGCAAGGTAAGTTGTGAATAATACATATGATGTGTTTTTCACAATTCAGGAAACATCAGAAAAAGATGCGTTTTAATTGTAGTGCTGTTTGTCAGCTTACTGTTTCGTGGTTAACTTTTTTTTTGTTGGGTTTTCTTCTCAAAGAGTCTCGGAGCATGCCTTGAAACAGCGTGCTTCCGTGGCAGGGTTTGCTCG